CTGTCATAGGGCCAGCCAAATATCTCAGCAGATTAAAGTGCCTGCAAGCAGGTGCAAGGAACGGAGGTTCAATCCCTGGCCTGCCAAGCCGGCCCCACCACCAGGGTGCGCTGAGAGGGCAGTTAAGGCTGGTTTGTGGTGGCACATGCCTGTAATCCCAGCTCTTGGGAGGCTGTAAACAGGAAGATCACTAAGAGTCCAATCTAGTAGTGAGACCCTGAACACCCTGTAGACCCTTCCCTATAAAAGTACCAAAAAAAAAAAAAAAGGTTGTCATAAAGAATATATATGTTTTTATTCCATTTATGTGAACTTCTAAAACATGCAGCTTTTTTTGTGTGTGATGGTAGTAGTGGACACAGAATCCGGGACCTTCACACTGAGCTACATTCCTGGCCCATTGATTGATTGATTGATTTTGCGGAACCGGGGTTTGAACTCAGGCCCTTGCGCTTGCCAGGCAAGCGCTTATTCTACTGAGCCATCTCCCCGGCCCTTGGCCTTTTTTATTTTGAGGCAACAGTTTGCCAAGTTTCTTGGGCTAGCTTTAAACTCAGGATACTCCTACCTCAGCCCCCAATGCATACACCACCATGCCAACCTAAACTAGACAACTTTTATTTCCAGAAATGAACAGTAGTTGTTCCAGGGGCAGGAGTAAAGGATAAAAGGTAAGAGGATGGGGGAACCATCTATGTTTTAATAACTTTCTCTAAGGACTTGAGTTATACAAAAGTTTGCAGTTTTCACAACTTAGTGAATGTAGAAGGCTTGTACCAATAAGTCTTTAGGGAAACTGCACAGAAGTCTGAATTCTCATTGACATGCATTAAAAAGACTGATAAATGGGGGATATATAAGCAGAGAGTATGTAATAAAAAGTGTAGTGTTATAATTTATGTTAACATTCCTCTATAGTTTAACAGTTTTCTTGCTACCAACTCAGAACTATTAGAGATACATTTATATCATTTATAAACAACTAATTTATTCCATAAACCACCTTTTCCCAAAAAATGATAGCATTAAGGCAAAAGGTAAACTACATAGGTCTTTCTACCTAGAAGTTCTATGTTGATTTTTCAGAGATTCTTTAAGGAAAATGTAAAACTTTAAGAAAACAGTAAATAAAAGCAAATCTAATTTGTAACCAGCAATTTTTGGTCTAGGAAGATATTTGTGAAATTAGTCTTATTAAAAACAAAACCAAAAACTATTACCAAATTAGATTATTTCCCAAAACAAGGCACTTGCTTGACAATACAGTCAAGGACTTTGTCAGACAATAAAAAGCAAGAAACAGTCCCACTCCAGGACTGATGCACTCTGACCCACTTTTTACCCACTGGTGGGCAACAGTTTAGAGGACAGTTTTCCACTGGGGTAAAAACATTTGTACTGGGAAAAGGGGAAAAAAGCAAGCACGGTCATGCTGAAAAATCAGGGTCAGCTGAGTAGTCTCTGTAGGACTAAGTCTATTTTTCACAAAAAATAAAACTGGAATCTGTATTTTGCTAGTTTTAATACAAAACACCTTATATCATATCATATCATATCATATCATAAGACAAATCATAAGTCAAATATTAATTACCAAAAGCCTGTTGTAAATTTTTTCAACCTAAAGTTAATATATGAGGTCTCAGAATTTAGCACTTTGTTAAAATTTTTAAAAAATAAAATATTTCACATGTGGTTTTCTATTTTAAAAAAAAGACCTCATCAAAAATACACTGGTTCTTTAGCAAATGATGTCACTGAGAATAACTGAACTAAAGGGATGGTGTCACTCAAAACTGCACCATTTAAAAAGACCTTTGAGTGCTGTACAACAGAAAACCAGGATCAAGGACCTTAGCTGTAGAAAATAAAACCTCATATAAACTCTAGTCCAGCCAAGGAGATGGCTAAGTAGAATAAGTGCTTGCCTGGCAAGCAGAAGGGCCTGAGTTCCATCCCTGGTACCGCAAAAAATAAATAAAATATAAAAAATAAAATTAAAATTAAAATTTTTTTAAAAAATAAAAAATAAACTCTAGTCCACAAGAAAAAAATTCAATCAATTTGCTATGACCATCTCGTGAGGACATCAGAAGCACTTTGGGAACTTTTATCAACAATGGAAATTGAAGTTCAGGTCCTAACTATGGAAAGAAGGAGTCCATTATTAATATACTTCTTTTTGTTAATTATATTACTGGAAAGAACAAGGTTACCACTATGGTAACAAAGTCACCAAGACTTCAACATGATTTAATACTATTCCTGAAGACTTTAAAAATGGTTTCATCTCATGCTACAAAACTGTAAACTCATTTTTAGACATAAAGTTAACATTATTCCTTCTAACATTCACTTGACTACCTTGGCTCTTCCTGTACATTTCCTGCTTTAAAACAAAACAAAACCCCAAATGTTTCAAACCCAAGACAACACCCCCTGTTATTCCAAAAGACAGCATAACATACTTTTCCTATCACTCTAGGTTACACACTTCATGGGATTTTGTATTGTTGTTCTTTGGTTACCCAGATACTGTATAATGGTTACAGTATTACTGTAACCACTATATAGTATCGCCATAAGAATATTGAAGATCTGCCACTTAAAACTCATGACAGTATTTTATACCTAAGCATAAGCAGAACAAGTAACCATAATTTTAAAACTTTTCCATCTAACAGAAGGTACTGATTTCTTATCTTTAGAATGGCTATTCCACGACAGTTCAATGACTGTAATAAAAACCAGCTAACTAATGGTGTTTGTAAGTAGGATCACAAGTCTGCATCTTGTACAGCAATTAACCACTAAGAAGAATATATGCAGTGTATTATTTGTTGAAACTGTACTTTCGATTTGATTTGAAACTGTCTCATTGCTATATGTTTATCAATAAAACTTTGAAAAGAAAAAAAAAAAAAAAACCAGCTAAGAGTCAACTAAGAATTGCTTTTAACTACTTAACCTACACTTGATGGAAACTAGATTTAACAAAACTTTAATATTATGTATACAGATATGAAAGTGTAATAAAATCAGTACAAGATGTTATTTTTTATGTCATGGAGAACTTTATAACTGTTTTGTCTATTTTCCAAGATGACCTAAAATATATTTTTATCCCTAAAAAAGCCAGTTCATACGTCTCAGAACTACAACATAATTACAGGGTGTTTTTACTGTTTTTATTCTAACTTATTTGGGTACACACAAAACTCTAGAAGAGAATTAAAAGTCACTTGTGTGATTTGGGAGATAAGTACTATTTTATGTGACTAATTTGAAATAAGTAAATTAATTGACGTATAAATATAGCTATCATTTCTTGGTGATTTCTTACAAAAAGGTATAGTAAGAAATGACAAGATTTGTAAAATGTGTTAACAAGTGCAAAAGTAAGCATCCTCAGTTGATTTATGAAATCTGGCTTAGCCTTTTATTTAGCCTAAAGAAAAAGAAATGATGTTTCATTTAAACCAAGCAAGATCCTGCGTAACTGGCTAGATAAAGGCCTATGTATGACCCAATTCACTACATTCCTCATAGTAGCCATCTATAAATCAAGAATAGAGCCAGTGACCTAATAATGATTTCCTGTGTTTCTCATGCCACTGGTCATGGCCAATTCATGGTTCACAATCAGTACTTGCTAAAACTGAAATGGAATGTAACATAAAATATCAGAATATAACACATGTGTAAGGGAAATTACAGTTTCCTGAAACTTTCAATTCAGTTGCATGTGTCTTTCCAAGTATAGCCTGTAAAAAAAATTATCTGAAAGTTAGTCTATAGATCCTCATTACTTCTTCCTCAAAACAATGCATAAATTAGGAACTCTGTATTGTAATTATTCACAAAAAAAGAAGTGACCATAAACCTAATATCACTCATAATATTTTCAGATTGATTTTTAAAGCTCTAAAATCAGACTGCCTGAATCCACACCCTAATCTTACCACTTTATTAACTTTATTTAAATATGTGCCTTACTATAAAATGAGGATGTCAGTACGTGAGTTGTAGTAAAAACAAATTAAATATATAAGAGTTGTAAATACATGTTTTAGTACTAACAGAACAAAATGAAGGAATGACATTACAAATTCAGCAAGAAACAACAGAAGGTACCTTTGAGGTGCTATATTTGATGTGTGTGGGTAGCGCCTTTTCATTCGGACCTTTCTGTCCTATTTGAGCTGTACAGTGTACATTAAAAAGTTCACATTTCTAACATAACACTCCTAATGCAATTACCTTTATCTTCAAAAACAACAGGAAGAGGTAGTTTATGGGTTTTGTTTTTGTTTTATATTTTCCTTTATATAGCAATACCACAACAGAGCAAGGCTCACAATGTAGTCACAATGTAGGCATCTGCATTTTTTCTAAAGAACTTACTTGGCAGGCACCAGTATTCTCACTAAATCCTCACACAACATTTTGCCGAGGAGAAAACTGAGGCAACTAAGTTCAGGGAAACTGCCTTTTGCATTGCTCAAATCAGTGTACTCTTCTCCCAGTTGCTTCACATAAGTATACTTTCTCCCCAAGCAGACTAGGAGTTCCAGAAATTCAGTCCATGTATGTCTTTCAGTGAGTTACTAAAAACTACAACAGACACTTGTTGCGCTACATTAAAGCTTCTTAGATCTGAACTGTCCTAAAGAATCAACCATAGTGCAAACCCAAAACAAACCTAACACAAAGACACGAAGCTCAGGTTCTCACGAACAGAACTGAAAAAGTTTACATATGCCCAGACTTACTGCAGAGTCTTGGAATAAGTATTGTGCAACCATGAAAGAATGAATTCAAATGACCCCTTTCCACGCCCCTGTCACCCAGAAAAGCAAAGAACCTGTCCCCTCCAGGTGAGGTACCGAAGGGCCATTGCCACGCCCCCGTCTTATCCCCTCACAATCGCCCGTTTCCTTTTCCTTGCGGGACCACCCGACCCCCCTGCCAAAACCCTTAACAATTCATATGTCTCTGACCTGCAGCGAAGTGCAAGGGAGAAGACTTCCGGCCAGCCATGTCCTTTGCATTTACGTTTGCAGCGTCTACCAGCCTCTTCACCCGGGACACGTCCCCATTGCGACAGGCCTCCAGCAGTTCCCGTAGGGCCCCGCTCACTGCTGGGACCCCTGTCCCAGGTACCGCTGCCCCAGGCCCCAGTGTTGCCGTGGTGCTAACCCCAGCTGCCTCGGGGCTCTCAGCCAAGCTCGACCCAGGGGAGGATGGAGAGGAAGATGAGGAAGAAGTCGGGGAAGAAGAGGACGACGGAGAATTGTTACTGCCACCGCCTGCTGAGTTGAGCGCGACCCCAACGGCAGATGAAGCGGAAGCCGCTGGGACCACGGTGGCGGCGGCTACAGTACAAATCGTGCTGGTGGTACTGCAACAGCTGGTACTGTCAACCGGGTCCGGGGATCGAGGCCTGTCGGGCGGATCCCGACTGCCATCCCCCTCCGGCAGCGCTAGGCCGTGGCGCGGGGAGGCGAAAGTGGCCAGGCCCCCAGCCGTGGGGGAGGCTGGGGTGGTCCCCGGGGCCAAGCCAGGACTGAGGGGAGGGGGAGGTGGCGGCGGCGGAGCCGAAGCCCCCGGGGCGGGCTGGAGCTGTTGTTGATGATGGTGGTGATGATGCTGAGAGCGACGCGACGCCGCCATCTTCGGACTCTCCCAGCACTGTCACTGCGGCAACGGCTCCACCGCCCGCCCTCACTTCCGACCTCTAGACCAATCAGCACCAGGCGCACAGGAAATGATACAGGTGGGGTGGGCGGAGACAGAGGGAGGAGGGAAGGACGGCGCGCTCAGAGGCCCTTCGGCCGAGGGGGCGGGGCCCGAGGCTGAGGGGCGGGCTTTGCGATTGGCCGGCGGCGGGCTGGGGAGTTTTGAATGCGGGAACCCGCCTCTGCCCAAACGGAAAACTTCCTGCATTTCTCACTTTCTACCCTCAGCTGCTCCGCCCTGCTCTATTCAGTCTCCAAGTCTCCTAGACTCTTCTTGACTTGCTGCTGTCAGCTTTGGAAGTTAACTCCTTACAAGCCTCTTAAGTGCTCTTGTCTGAAAAATACAAACACGAACAGTACCTACTTCGGAATTTGCTACACTACATGAGCTAAAAATACAAAGCCGATTGTTAATAATACACAACTAATTAGCCCACTGGGAGTTTTTAAACTTAATCTTTTTCCGTTTATTTCTTAGTTCTCTTGTTCCTTTTTTTTTTTTTTTTTTTGGTACCGGGGATTGAACTGAGGACCCTGCGCTTGCCAGGCAAGCGTTTATTCTACTGAGCTACCTCCCCGACCCCGAGACAGATCTTGTTCCTTCTAAATCTTTTCGTTCTCTATAGTACTTTGTTATTGCCCCATGTTTAAAATGTTTCAGGTGAGAATTCGCCAGGATTAGATTCAAGCTTGGCCATCTTCTATCTGTAAATTTGATCAAGCTCCTTAACCAACCACACACACCCTGTACCTCAGTTTCCCACCCATAAAATCAAGATAGTCCAATAAATTTTAATTATTAGCATGATGATTTTTCTATTTTATTATCTCTGTAGTTTTGTCAACCTAAATTTAGGACTAATGAGTATGTTCCTCTCTTTTGAATTTATTTTCGCTGAGCCTCTTTTTTCATTTTTACGCACATCTTCCCTCGTCCCTCCCAGACAGACACAAAACCTGACTTCCATCTGTGTACACCTTTTGGTGTAATTTTCAGCAGCCGCCTATCGAGAGATGGATGGTGAGTGGTATGATCTCAGTGAAGTCTCCGTTGCATACATACAGTCTAACCATTAAGTAAATGATATGAAAGTACGCACACAGCTCGATTCAAGAGTGGACACAAATGGAGATATATCCAAGAAAAACAAAGATCAAGCAGAATATTAAACCAAGAGGTAGACTGTTATTTCTCATGTTAATTATTAAATGTAATTGAGGTAGTGTTACTATTCGCACATCAATAAATGAGTAACTTTTTTGGACCGACTAGCTAGATGCAATAAAATCTGGAACATAATATGAGTGCCATTTTTAATTTCAATTGGAGGTTACAGAGTATAGTTCTAACATCTCTTTCATTGTGGAGAGCTATCCATTGCTTGACCTCTGACAAAGTAACATGGCATTTGGAGAATCTGCAAAGCAGAGCCTCACATGGCTGTGTACCCACAACCCCCCTGGGGATTTTTAGGCTTCTGATTCCAGAGAAAGAAAGCACACAATTAATCACACTAGGGTCTTGGAATAAGATAATTAAATGCATAAAGTTCTTTCATAGATTGACTCCTTGCTCCCTACCTTATAAATCTGCAGAAAGGGGCAAGTCTAAGCCAAGAATATTTAGCAATAATGAGGAAGTTTAGAGTCAAGATTTTGAGACAGTGAGAGAGTACCCCGAGAGTGGTTTCAGTAGGACAGAAAATAGAACAGAAGGAACGATAGCTGATTAAGTTCCCATGACTATTCCTAGTTTATACTGTGTACTCATATTAATCAAAATTTAAATTGTTTCTCACTTATAGATGAAAAGCCACATCTGTTAATCTTTGCATAAAGAAAGCTTATGTAATCACTCATGTATAAACAAAGGCTACTGATTTCGCTTTGGGCTGAAGAGACACACTTTTCTTCTCTCCTAACCCCATTATTTTTATCTGAGTCTTTTTTGTCTGCTTCCCGCTTTCCTCTCTTTTCAGGTTGTTCCCCGGAAGCTGAGGCTCTACCACGGCATTTCATAAAATCCTGTCATTGCTTACGATAGACATACACATACAAAAAAAAAAAAAAAAAAGAAAGAAAGTGTGGCAAGGTAAAATAATTCCACAATGCAACTAAAATCAAACCATAATACATTCTCCTTGATTTAAATGTTTTTAGTTTTTCTTGCTAAAATGTTATTTTACTATATCTGAAAATCTACTTTACAAATATTTACACATTTTAAGGAAAACAACCAAGCATTATAAATAAACATTTAGCTATATAAAATTCAAATTTAGAACAATAAGCAAAGAAACTTATTTTTGGACTATGTGGTTATTACTGCATGTCACAGTCACTTTTTTTGTTGCTGGGACAAAATACCCAGTACCCAAAGTTAAAGGAGGAAAGGTTTATTTAGCTCCCAGACTGTAGAGCTTTCAGTCAATAATTGGCTGGCTCTGTGGTAGGGTAGTGTGGCAGAGGGGAAACCTTTCAGGGCAGTGGAAGATACCAAAAGCAGCAAGATTGAGAGAGGAGGGGCTGGCCAAATAGCTCAGCAGATTAAAGCACCTGCAGGCACAGGGGCGGGGGCATGGGGGGTGGGGGGGGTTGATCCCCCAGGCCTGCTGTGCCAGTCCCGCCCCCAGGGAGTGATGAGATGGCAGTTGAGACTGGGCTTGGTGGCACATGCCTGTAATCCCAGCTCTTGGGAGGCTGTAAACAGGCAGATCACTACCAGTCTGATCTAGTAGTGAGACCCTGAGCACCCTGTAGACCCTTCACTAAAATAAAAAAAAAGAGAAAGAGAAGAGAGAGGACAAGCCTCTTTCTGTCCCTTGTCTTATATGGAGGCCACCCGGATTAGGATGATGCCAATCCAATCAGTGGACTGACCCAACAATTAACCATGCTTAATTCCAGTATTGCACTACATGCCAATCACACACCCTAGATACAACCAACTCAAAAAGCAAAAAATAAAAATCTCTATTACTGCATGAGGCTTTGGGGGAGACATCTAGATGCAAACAATGACACTCTGCCCTTGACCCCAAAGATGCATGCACATCCCTTTATGCAGAACGCATTTAGTCTATGTCAAAGAGTTACCAAAGTCTTAACAGCTTCAGCACTGCTGAAAAGTCCAAAGTTAAAAGTCTCCTCTGATTTTTAAGGAAAATTCTTCACACCTATGTAAGTGAGCACCTATGCAAGTGAAAAGAAAGTTTAAAACTTCCAACATTCAATAGAACAAGATAAAAAGATAAACTGGTTTTTTGGTTTTTTTTTGTTGTTGTTGTTTGTTTGTTTGTTTGTTTGTTTTGTGCAGGATCTCACTATGCAGCTCACCCTTGTAGTGATTGTCCTATTTTCTGCCTCCCTAGTGCTTGGATTACAAGTGTGCACCATCATGCCCAACCTCCATCTCTGGCTTATCATGCTTGGGGTGGAGCTGGCACAACATGAATGCCAGGGATCGAACCCTGGCTCCTCAGCCTACCTAAGCAAGTGCTTAGTCCACTGAGCTATCTCACCAGCTCTAAAAACTTTTATTCCAACAGTGAAAGAGGTGATACAAAGGAATGGGACTAATACAAGTTCAAAATCTAACAGGGGAAACACTAAGTCCTGTAGTCCCATGAGCATCATCTCGGGATTTCTGTGGGAAAATGCAAACTCCAAAGGGTTTCAGTGGCTCCACCCCTATAGCACCTTGGTAGTGGTAGCCTCCAGAGCATCTCTTGGGCCCGATTTGCTCTCTCCTTTCAGTTTTTCTTAGATGATCCAGGTTCCTGTCTGCTCAGAACTTCTGGGGTCTCCACTGCATCTATGGCTTCACACTCACAACTTCATGCAGTGCCCTCTCAGGGACACATTGTCTGGCCTCTCAGGCTTTCTGAAATCTGGGTGGAAGCCTTCCTCAATCCACAACTCTTCCATTATGCATGTACCTAAAATCAGTACTTTCTAATTTTGTTTTTGTTTTTGTTTTTGTTTTTGTTTTTGTTTTTGGCTGAACCGGGGATTGAACTCAGGCCCTTGCGTTTGCCAGGGAAGCGCTTATTCCACTGAGCCATCTCCCCAGCCCCTTTTTAAAAATTGTTTTTTTAGTACTTTCTATCTAGAAAGTATGGTTTTTAAAAATCAGGCCTCCAAAATTCAAAGACCCAATCAAAAAATGAACCTCTGAGATGAATATATACTTCTCAGAGGAAGAAATACAAATGGCAAGTAAGTATATGAAAAAAATGTTCAATATCTTTGGTCACTTGTGATATGCAAATTAAAACAACACTGAGATGCCATCTCACCCCAGAAAGAATGGCTATCATAAAAAAATCACCCAACAACAAATGTTGGAGGGGCTGGAGAAGAAAAGGAACCATTGTCCATATTTGTGGGAGTGCAGACTGGTACACCCACTGTGGAAATCAATGTGGAGATTCCTCAAAAAGCTGGGGTTGGAGGTCCCGTTCAACTCAGCTATTCCCCTCCTGGGTATTTTTCCAGAAGAACTGAAAACATAGAAAGTGATTTATGTGAACCCATGTTTATATAGCACAATTTATAATTTGTCTTGCAAGCAACCCAAATACCCATCAACTGGAAGAATGAATAGAGAAGATTGTTACCATGGTGTATTATTCATCTATAAAAAAGGATAAATTTGAGGCTTTTATCAGTAAATGGATGCAACTAGAGACCATACTCTTAAGTGAAATAAGTCATACCCACATGTACAGACATCGTATTTTCTCCTTAGTGTAAGAACCTGAAAGGGTAAGTAAAATCTAAAGGGTACACTAGATACTATGAAAAGTATTCTGTTCAAAAGGAAGGAATTACTGAGATGAGAAAGACAAGAGAAGGAATGGGGGAAAGAAATATATCTACGTATATAAGCAGGATGGTTTGGATAATTGTACTGTGGATTTCTGCTGGTCTGTAGAAAGCAGTAGTTAATGCTTAATTGAGGGGCTTTCTTTTTTCAATTTTTCCTTTTTCTATTTTCTTAATTTCTTTTTTCTGTATTTTAGGGAAGGGTCTACAGGGTGGTCAGGGTCTCACTACTAGATCAGACTCAT